GCTACAGCTACGCGAAGCTAAGATGAAGCTAAGCTAAGCTAAGGTAAGCTAAACTAAGCTAAGATGAGATACGCAAAGCTAAGGTAAGGGGGCGCAACTGGGGGAACCGCGGGGCGGGGACCGGGGGAACCGCCCCGGGCGGGGAACACTGCCCGGCCCCTTTAAGCTAAGAGAGTAAGAACCCTTCTAGGCAGAGCCTAGGTAGGGAAATGTCAAACAACGTAGTGAGAACAGCCAAGCTACTGCCAGAAGGAACGCAAAGCAAGGAACGGATCCCCTATCAAGCACCAGAGAAAGGCGCCCGCGTGCACGAAGAGCGCCTAAAGAACAACCACGGAAGGACCTACGAAAAAGCGAGCCCCTTGCGAACCCGATCACTTCAGCGTCTTGACTGCCCGCCCCCCTGTTCGCGGGGCCGCCCTCCTGTCGCGGACGCCGGCGCAATCTTTGCTCTCGAACCCCATGCGAATTCACGCACGCGCGCGTCCTCTCTTCGCTCCTGATCTCAGAGCCTCTCTTGGGACGTCTTGCGCTCCGCGCAGATCGTCGCCATCGTCGACGACAACGCGCCAGGGAGACGGTGCTCGGGGCCGGCCTCAACGCGGGCCTTCGCCCTGAAACCCCTCCCCTCCACGGGTACCCCGAGGAGGGGGTTGGGGAGGTTGCGGATGAGGGCACACATGCACGTCCGAGCGCGCCGAAAAAGAAACATGGGAATGCAAGACGGGTGGAAAAGACGAGCACGTACCACTCGGCGAGCGAGAAACCAGGACACGTGCACCGAAGAGACTCGAGCGCTGGCGAACGACCGAAGACGAAGCCAAAAGCAGGCGTCGTCGGAAGACTGGAGCGGACGCGGCTCTTCCATCCACTCCCCCGCGAGGGTGTCCTTGCCAGCCCTCAGCGGAGGCAGAGGCCAGACATGAGGAAGAGGAGGTAGAGGAGGAACGCGAAGTGGCCACCGCCGGCCCCGACGAGCCCCACTGCAACCAACATCCACGGCAAGAGTGACAGGTACGGCTGGTCATCCAAAATCGTAAGCGGCTGCTGTTGCGCAAACGACTGTTTGTCAAATGGACAACGTCTGCGGCGACACCGACAACGAATCCGGGTCAGAACTGGCAGAAACTGCTGTCGGTCTTCGTCCCCATTCTGTCCGTTAACCCCGCGCTTGGGTCGTCACCGCGTCGGCACGGCGCGAAACCGCCGTGGGTGTGCAAGACCAGTGGCCGTAAACGTGGAAGCCACTGCGGCGTCATCGCGCCAGCAGCTCCAAAATCTGTGGCCAAAGGTGGCCGAGGGAGCAAGGGGATACGATTGCACAACAAATTCACGCCACGCCGATACCGCGTGGAGCGTTGAGCCTTCAACGATCTGGGATTTCTGGCAGCGCCGATCGTGCGATATCGGCAGATTCAGCGCCGCCATCGGCGGTCAACCTTGCCCGCTCTCGCCGGGGACGCTGCCGCGTCGACGCGGTGCGACCCTACCTCAGCCTGGATGGAGCACTGCATTACTGCGATAGACTTTGAGCGTGGCCCCAAGTGGAGGAAGCGCTGGATGCAAGCACCTTCTCGAGGCGCACGCGGCGTTGTTGTATTTGCAGGTGAATCGCCAATTCGGCCAGGCAGCCTCCTAACCCCCAGTACGAGGGAGGAGAATTGGAGGATGAGGAGGAAGAGGTCTACGTAGTGGGTTTCCTGGAAAGGCTTCTGAGCCCCCCTGCACGCTTTGGAAGGTTCCTGGAATCAGTGGAGGTGCCCGAAGGCTGAATGGAGCAAGGGCAGCGACCCGTGCCCCCCCCGTCTGCACTGGAAGAATGGAAAAACGAATTCCACAATGCGCGCATGTCTCGTGCAACCTCGCTCAGAGAAGCCACAAACAATTTTGAAACGCATACCCATTGTCCTGCCGGATTGGGCAACCATATTTAATGTCAGGAATTGAATAGATTGGGTTTTCGCCCGCCCGCTGACAATGAAGAAGAAACACCAATCGACTCTTGAAAACGGAAGACTGTAACACGGGTAACACGGGAATCCACACACACACACACACACACTCCGGATTCCATTACAACAGGGTGGGGGGTCGCACCCCTTCATTATGACAAGGTGCGGGGTCGCACCCCTCCCAGCCGAGCAATTTTACTGTAGTCTCCCCCCCCGGGACCGCCATGAAAGGGCGGCCTTCTGCCCAGACCCCTCGAAACTCTCGAAACTCTCCAGGACAGCTCAAATCATAACCCCCACCACATCAGCACCCCCCCCCTCCTTATGAAATTTGGAGAGCCTGCTTGCATCAACAAAATATCGGTAAGCTGTCGGAGGTCCGCGTGGATTTCTTGGGCAGGGGCGGCGCTGGATGACCCGAAAATTGGGTGCGGTCCAGCGCCGATCCAAGCAAGTCAGGCGGACCTCAAAGAACATATGTTCTACGTAATTTCTAAACCAATGCTTGCACTTATGGGTTCTTACTTGGGTTTCTTCAATCATTTCATGGGAATGTCGAAATTTCGCCTGGTGCCCTGTTGGTGGCCGCCCGTGGCAACCTTGTGGGCGTCCCGTGCGCTGGGTGGGTGTGGCGGGGTTCCGCCTGGCGTCCGGTTGGTGACCGCTCGTGGGCGCCCTGTTCGCTGGGTGTGTCTGCCAAGATTGGCCGTCTCGTGGGCGCCCACAGAGCTTGCACCACAATGATGCGCCAGATAGTACACAGCTTTTACCACAAGGATTGCACAACGTAGCTTGCACCACATATTTCTGTCCACATAGACTGCGTAACAGCTCGCACCACACAACTTTCACCATGTATCGAGCACCTCTTAGCTTGTATTATGCAGCTGTCGCCATACAGGTCGCCCAGCATGTATTGCGTCACATAGCAGGCATCACATGGCTTGTTTCACATATCTGTGACAATGTAGTACTCACCACATATAATGCACTACGTAGCTGACACCCCGCCGATTGCATCACTTAGCTAGCTATCATCGTACAGCTTCCGCCTCACAACTTGCACAAGGAAAAACCCAGGATGGCCTACAGGCTCCCAATACGGCCCGAAAGCGGTCCAAAAGACCTAGAGGGCGGCGCTAAAGCGTTCCAAGAAGACCTCACAACGGCCCAAAGGAGACCACCGACACACGAGACGGCCTCCGCAAGCGTCAGACGGGCCAGGAGCGCCCAGACACCCCAAGAGTCCCACAAGAGACCCCGAGGGGCTCCCAACGAGGCCTCCCCCGCAGGCGGCCGCCCGAGCGCTGTGGAGGATTCGCGCGGCAACGCAATCGGACATTGCACCACTTAGCAAGCACCACACGGCTTCCCCACACAGGTTAGCTTACACCACGTAGCTCGCACCACATGCATTGCAGAACACAGCTGGCATCACGTCCTTGCATCACTCAGCTTTCACCACACAGGTTTCACGGTGCACGGACCACATCACATAGCTTGCAACACATCGACTTCACATCGAGGGCGCAATAGCCTCATTTTAGGGGTCCACGCTGCCTAACATCGTCCTTGTTCGATCACTGTGCTGCACTGCCTCCCTGCCCACCAACGGCGTACTTGAGGCTCGCGAGCAATGCGCTTTCGTACTCGCGCCTCAAGTCCTTCGCCGATGCCGCAACGGCTTTTCCAACATGGAACGAGTTGGCCACACGGTAAGACATGTCCCGAATTCTCATAACAATGTCTAGGTCGCTGCCAGCATCATGACAGATCCCACCATCCCTGTGGGCTGAGGTGGTTTAGGGTGCACGCTCTTCTAAAACAGCTCATTCTCATTCCTCGGGGAAGGACTGTCCCCTCCCCCTTCCTCCTCCTCGATGGTCTGTCCGGGGATGTGGGGGGCTGCGACATATCAAGAAGATGACCCCAAAACTGGCCACTGAACCTCCCAATAATGCCCACGATAAGCCCGGCTCGTCCCAACACCTGGATGGTCTCCAATGACTTTTGCTTTCCCACCTTCGTCGCCCTCGGTGGGCCTCTGCTAGGCCAGATGGCGGCCGCAAGAAGGGAGGAGGGCCCCAGTCGTTCTGGAGAAGTGGTTAGAATCATGAAGTGGCAAAACGCTGAAAGTATATTGGGTTTCCGCCCGCCCCCCGAACAGGAAGTAGCATGAAGCAACATTCAATCCTTTTGACAGGAATGCGCCGAACTGCGCGTAAAGTAGATTTGGATCTGGGAACTCGAAAACACCTACTTTCAGCGAACAATGGGTCGGCTACTTGTTCTAGTTCCTGCTGGACACAGACAGCCAGTCTTGGGCCCCTCTGCTTTGGCCGCTGGCCTCTGAAGATACTCCCAATGGAAACCCGTTTTTAAAGCTCCCAAGAGGCGCTGGCGCCGCACGCGAACTCCGATGCGGCCCCAACTGGCCAGACGGCTCCCGGAAGCGTCCAAGAGGTTCCCATGGCACAGCAGGTACACATCATAAGAAGCCTTGCCATGAGAGATCTACGTGAGGGTATCTCTCTCGTCGACTCTGAGCTCCGCAAGGTGCTCAGGGCTCTGCGAACCCATCGGAGGATAAGAAGTTCTAGTAGTGCGCGCGTTGGCAGGTCAGTTTCTAATTTGGCGCTCCTGCTGTAGAGGGCAGGAGAACCACCCTCGTAACAATCACCCGACAAGCGAAGCCTTTCAGTAAGCGCACCCAAGGACTCGAGCGGGGCGAAGCCGTTCAGCTTACAAACAAAGGCTCGAAACGTCGGTTATGGGGGTCGGGCTGGTTTTTCCCCCTCGACAGAAGACCCAATGCGCCTTTGTGGGGGGCAACTCGGGCCGACCCTACCCATGGTTCGACCAACCTCCACTCCCGTCTTTTTTCCACTGATGCACACCCCCACACTGCCCTCATCATGATGATTTGTCCGGGATCTATGGGCCAGCGGAGATACGCGAAACGTCAAGAATGCGGACGAAATGTTATGACATGCAGCCGTGCTGGGTCAATCGCGCACGCCGCCAAGGACCCAGGCCGACGACTGCCCCTCGAATTCCCATCCCCACGGCCAAGGCCGTCCACGGTACAACCGGAAACCGACAAAACCAATAACGACACCGAATCCGACAGAACACAAGTAGCGTGGAAAAGCGCAACGATGCAGCAACGACACAACAACCGACCGAATCGAACCAACAACACAGAACCGACTGCGACGCAGCCGAACTGACCGAACTACGGATGCCCTTCAAGAAACACGGTGCCATATCGGAAGAACCGTTCCAATCAATCCGCAATGATCCCTGGGACATGCGGGGAGTGCTCCGGCTGACCTCGTTGCCTGTATGCTGGGCTGCCTCTCTTTTATTGGACGACGCGCTGAAACTTGTTGGGTGCCTCGCACCCCTGGGCCCCAAGACCTCCCCAGACATCTGGCGGCTCGATTGCTTCGAGATGCGGGGCCCCAGACCTGTCGACTCCTGCTTCTCCTGGACAGTTTTTTGGCTGGTCCTAAGGCCTGAAACGGGCCTCCAGAGGCCCACAGGCCGTCTCGATGTTGTCAAGCCGCCTCTTCCTCCTCGCTACCTCAACTCGCACGGGCCCTGCGCTCATGAGAGAGGCAGCCTGGCGAAAGCCTTCAGACAGCATAGGGCTGATCCCTCGAAGCTGTGCCGACCGACCTCTCTTCATCCTTGTCGAATCGGACGGCAGGGGGATTAGCAGATGGGGTCCTAGCGAATGAACTGGGAGTATCTGGTTTAGCGCCTCCTGGTGCTGGAGGCACCGCTGGAGGCGCCAATCGAGGACGGCGCCCGACGGTGGTGCCGAAACCAGCTGCATGCGTAAATGTTCGCCCGTCCCCCCCCCTCTTTTCACACTCCCTCCTTCTATTCTGACCCGATCTTCTCCGGGCCCTAGGCAACCCAAGCCAGCTAATCCTTGACCACTCCGATCGCCCTCTGGCTCGGGAAGCGTGCGCTTCGGTTGCTCCTGGGCCAACTGGCCATCGATCGAGTCGCGTGCACAGTCGGGCCGATCGAAGCGAACCCCATCCAGGGAGGAAGCAGGGCCCGTCAGTAACGAATCGGGAATTCGGGTCGAATCGAAACGAACATCGGATCGGGCTGCATTGGCTCAGAATCGGATTCGAATCGGCTGCGCCCGGATGCATAACTAAATGCGCTTTGCCAACATCGGGCCGTATCAGGATCGCCAAGCAATAGAAACATCGGACCGTATCGAGCCGTGTGGATCCGATTTTGAGCCAGGTAGATAGAATCGAAGTGGGCCCTGGGAGGGAGGGTCGGGTCGCTCCTTCGTGCTGGGGTGGCCGTCGAACAGCTGGGCGCATAATTACGCATCTTGGCCTAGACAAGGATTGGGGATCCCAAAACGGTGCGGTGACAGACAGTGCGGTGACCTCGGAGTCCTAAACGATCTCACTCACCGCACGGTCTGTCACCGCACCGTTTTGGGATCCTGGAGGGCCCAATTGCCCGAATGATCCGTGGACAACGACCCAAGTCCAAAAACCGTGCGGTCATCCCAGATTCCCACTGACTCACCACACAGTGTGGTCATGGGGGCCGTTTGGGCCCCCCCCGAGGGGAGGCGGATTACACCGATCGAGGGTCCAGGATGGATCCGACCATGATCGGTCTGCGTGCAAGGAGTTCTCGCCACCCAGAACCCAGAACCTTCGGTGGCAAATTCATAGGAGCCTCCCACACCATCTTGTCGGCTCTGGCGAATCGACGCCAATCGACGCTAGTCGAGGCTCATCGACGCTAATTCGACGCTGGCCGACGCTTAATCGACGCTATCTCATCGACTCCCAAACGCTCATCGACGCTAATCGACGCTGGAGACGGAATTCAGAGGGTATACCAAGCTCCCATGACCTGCTACCGAAAGAACCCCTGGCCCCTCCCCGCGGGGAGGTCGCTCCTTCGTGTCGGGGTGGGCCTCGAACTGCTGCCTCATGACCTCCGAATGGATCTTCTCGCATGCCTGGAAGTTCCGCTTGCCTGGGCTCGCGGCAACTTCCACCCTCTGGGTCGGACGAGACGGGGCTCGCAAAGGAGAGGCGAGATAATTAGCGAAGCAACTCACGGAGCTGATTTCCCCGGCGCCTCCCAGCGCCAGAGGCACCCGTGTATCGAGGAGAGCGCCCAGCGGCGGGGCTGAGACCATCTGCATGCAGCAGACTTCGCACCCCCCTCTTTCCCTATCCCACCCTCCGCCCGACCCGACCCCTCCAACCTCAGGCTGGCAGTGCTGGCAGTAACAGCCGAGCTGGCCGCCCTTCGACGAGCTCGGAAATCGACAAAGGGACCCCCCGCACATGGAGAGTGTCTCGGCCGCAGGCCTCGTCAGCACTGCCGGCCAGGCACTGCCAAGGGAGGTCACCGCTCAGAGGGCGCCGCATCCTGAAGGAAACGCACGCCCCTGAACCCCCGAGGCAGGCTTGCGTTGGATCGACTCGCGGAGTCGGATCGGATCGGGAACGGATCGGATCGCCAGCAAATCGTCCCGAATCGAATCGAAATCGGATCGTCGTGCCTGGCCCTGGCTGCCCAAAACCATACTTTGGAGTCCCGAATCGTTGCGGTCACAGACCGTGCGGTGACCTCGGAACCCCAAGAGACCTCACCGCACGGTCTTGGGACCCTGGAGGCCCCTGTAGCCCGAGACATCCTCGGAGAGGGACTCGAGTCCCAACACCGTGCGGTGACCCCGAATCCCCACCGACTCACCACACGGTGTGGTCACCACCCCGTTTGGGCCCCCGACGTACAGGTGAACCGAACGGGCTCGAACCATACCGGAATCATGGCCCGAGCCAGCCAATCGACCCGCATCGATTCGGATCGTGTGCGGCCCTGCCAGGCCTGCGAAGAGCCGCCCGACAACACACAGACCCTCCTCGATCCTCCACATCTCCCTCGTCCCCGACCTTAGGGGGCCCCGGAAACGGCAGGGCCGTTTTTTCACCGTTTCCGAAAAATGCCCCTTGAAAATGGAAACGACAAACAAACGGCGACCGGAAACGGCAACACAGACGGCTCCAGGAGTGGAACCGGAGCGGGAACCCGCAAAAGAACGGCGACGGAACCGGTGAAAAGAACGGCGTCGGAACCGGCAACAAAAAACGGCAAAGCGGAACCAGAACAAAAAACGGCCCTGTCGTTTCCAGGGCCCACTAAGTCCCCGACCCTCAAATCTCCACAGGGAGGTGGTAACCGCCCGGCCGGCGACCCCCCCTTGGCCTGAGCATTTCCTGAGGGTGGAGGGCTCAGGGTGAAGTCCATACGGGCCCTTGCACCTCGAAAATCGAGCCGTCGTGTGGTCCACCTTTTGCAGACTCGGGCCTCGGCAGTCCATCGAAGCGGCATTTCAGATTTCACCCTCTGCCCTCCATCTAAAGAGAATGCTAGGTTGGCACCGCCCGAGCGCATCTGGGAGGCCCCCGGAGCACTCTGCGGCCCCAGGAGACGACCGGGCCCTCGCGCGAGCGGCCTGCGACGAGCTCGACGCGGGGGGCTCCCCCCGCCGCCTGGGGCAGCGCCTGGGGCCGCAAGGCCTCGCCAGCACTGCCCGTGTGGTTCCTCCTTCGTCTCCCTCGTTGTCTCCCTCCTCCTCCACGCTGTCTCCTCCTCCTCCTCCTCCTCCTCCTCCTCCTCCTCCTCCTCCTCCTTGTATCCCTCCTCCTCCTCATCCTCCTCCTCATCCTCCTCCTCACCCTTGTCCCCCTCCTCCTCCGAGCGGGCCGCCGTCTGGGGGGCGCCTGGGGCCGCGAGGCCTCGGGCCGCGCACGGGCGACCCAGGACCCCTGGGCGTCCTGGGACACTCCGGGTCGGCCAAGAGTTCGCGCACCGCGCCCCGCGCGGCGCGATCGCCTGCGCAGCCTCGGGCCCTCGCGCCGCCCGCTTGGAGGACGGCAGCCGCTCTCTTGGCCCAGACCGCGGCGCGCGGTCCTCTTCGCGCCCCCGCGGGCGACGTGGGAGCATCGGAGCCCCTCTTCTTCAGCGTGTCGACCTTCGGCGGCCCTCTGCGATGCACAGTTCTCTCTCGCCGATCGAAAACCAAGTCAGGACGACGGTGGGTTTGGATCGTCGGCTCCAGATCGTAACGACGAGCTCTGAACACAATTGGTAAGGCTTCGGGCTGCGCGCAGACAGCCCTCAAGTAGTCCCAGCTGGCCTCAACAGGTCCCCGAGTAGTCTGGGACGGTCTCAACGTCCCAATCCTTGGGCGCAGAGCGCTACAGGGGCGCCGCCGGAGGCGGCACCAAGGTGTTGTGACCGCCCCAAGCTAATCGGGAGGCGTGTTGAGGCCAGCCGGGACTACCTGGGGGGCTGTCTATGCGCAGCCCGAAACCTTACCAAACACAATCGCTCGCCCCCCCGCTCTCCTCCGAGGAACGCTGGCTCCATCGGGCACATGCCCACCAAGAAGCTCTTGCAGACGTCCGAATCCTTGAACTTCTCCTTGGCCTTGGCCTTATCCTTTTCCAGCTGCGCGTCGCGGCCGGGGCCCATGAGGGCATCCAGCATCGCGCGGGCCTTGTTCATGATTCAGGGTCAGTCCTCCTGCACAAATGGTAAACTTCATATGTGAGCGCAGGAGGCAGTGCGAACATCTGGAAACATGAACAAAACATTCTCAACCAAATATGCACAAGAAATGTGCGGAACATTGGTTGACCAAGATGCGCCGACAGATCAATCGCCGTCGCATTCCGGCACAAACGAGCTGCCAGCACCTCTGAACACGACACAACAATTGGGAATGCGATCTGGCAATATTCCGGTGGTTCCGAACAGGATCAGGGCCGTCGAGATATCAGCACATAGCTCTCTCTCCCTCTCTCCATTGGCAAAACATCTCAAGACCACGAAGCGCAACAGTCTGCCAGGGGCGACCACAGAGCCTGCGGCGCTTCGAGGTGCGCGAGCTGCGATTGTCTTGGCGCTCTCGCGGCCTCGGCCTCGGCCTCGGCCGAATCGCAGAGAACGCGACTGTCCGCAAACCCACGCGGGTGACCTGGAGCGTCTTCAGGTCTTCAGCCTTGCATTGGGCAGTCGCCGCCGATACATCGGCGATGCATCGGCGATGCATCGTCGACGTCGGCGATGCACCAGCGACGTCGACGCGAAGCAAGTCGGGCTGCACATCGAGACGCATCGGCGATGCTACTCCGACCCCATCTGGGAGGCCTGGCGCAGAGCAGCCCCATCGGGAGCGGCCAATAGGGGGGCGTCCAAGAGAGGGGGGCGCAAATCAGGCGCATATCCCGCCCCCCCCCCCCTGGTCACCACCCCCCTCTTTGCCGCCCCCGACCCCGGCCGCCCCGTCCCCCAAAGGCCCCGGGACAGGCCCCGAGGCGCCCCAGGGGCCGTCGAAGACCTGCGGAACGCGGGCGGCCGCCAGACAGGCCGACGGCAGCCTTCTGGCTCTCCCCAGGGGGCCCCAGGATGCCGCGCTGGCGTGGCGAAGAGTCCGACCCTTGCACTTGCTCAGCATGGAGCGCGGGTGAGCATGGGGGCGGGTTCGCCAGCGGCGTAGTTGAAGCTCCCTTAGAGGCATTCACTGTGTGTGGTGTGCGTGCGTGCGTGAGTGCGTGCGTGCGCGTGCGAGCGCGAACGTGCGTGAGCGTGTGCGTGTGCGTGTGCGCGTGTGTGCGTGTGTGCGTGTGTGCGTGTTTGCGTGTGTGTGTGTGTGTGTACGTGTGTGTGTGTGTGTGTGTGTGTGTGTGCGTGTGTGCGTGTGTGTGTGCGTGTGTGTGTGTGTGTGTGTGTGTGTTCGTGTGTGTGTGTGTGTGTGCGTGTGTGTGTGTGTGTGTGCGTGTGTGTGCGTGTGTGCGTGTGTGCGTGTGTGCGTGTGCGTGTGTGCGTGTGTGTGTGTGTGTGTGTTGTTCATCCAACTCGGGTATCGGCAGGCCAAGCTCTGAAGGGCTGTCCTCCACGGGTGCGAATCCACGTCCGCCGACCCCAGCGTGCACCCAATCGATCGCCTTCACTCCTTCCTCGAACCTGCCTATGGGTCCAAAGTGCATCCAGCAACTCACGTTCCTGCGTCCAGGCTCCCTGAGGGCTATGTCGCCGAAGCTGTCAGACCCCCCCCTCCATCTCGTCAGACGTCAGACGCGTCGCTGCTATCCGTACTGGCATGGGGCAGCTTTGTCCGTGGAAAGGCTTTCTCGGCCACGCCTCCGAATGGGACAGACCCATCCATCAGACTGACCCCAACCTGGCGGCACCGTGCCCACCCTGGACGGCTTGCCGACTGCGCCAGCTGCACGGAAGATCGTCCCCAGGCAAGAGTGGCCTTTGGAGCGCGGCCTGCCGATTGTCGCGCGCGACGCGACCCGTAGCGGCCTGCGTACTTGGGTTTGCCCCCCCCCCCCCCTCCCCCTGCGCCCACTCCGAAAACCGCACACCAGAGGTGACTCTGGCGAAGGGTCAATCACACATTTGGCGGCGCGCACAAGCGGGTAGGGGGAGGGGGGAAGGCTTCTTAGAAGGAGGCTGCTTCTTAGAAGGCGCCGGCCTTACATCTACAAAGAAGGCCCGCGTCTTCTAAGAAGCAGGGGTGCTTCTAAGAAGCCTTCCCCCCTCCCCCTACCCCCTTCTGCGCGTGGCCAGCACATGTAGCCACCTGGGAAGCCCAGGCAGGCCCTCAAGGGGTCTCCAGGCAGGCCCCCCTCGGGGCAACAGCGAATTGGGCATACCGTGTGCTCAGAGGGAGTGGTTCTGGCTTACCACCCTTGAGGGCTCAAGGTGGCCTCGCAACGGGCCACGGGGACGGCAGTCGAGCCGCCCTAACTAGATCTCCGGCGGTCCAAGAGGCCCCCTGGACTTGAACCTCGAAACCTCGATCCGCGAACCCCAAATTTGCAGAGTCACTGCCACAGAGCGAGCGGGTCGTTCCCATGCTTGGAACTCGCTGGACGGACAACTCGCGAGCCCTAGTTACCCTCACGGACTTGGAAATGCCGCCCCCCGCCCAAGAAAGCGCTCGCTTCTAAAGGCCTCCCGGATGGGGTCCGTGTAGATGGGGTCGGAGGATCGCGCCGCATCGCCAGTCGGCGTGGAGCACATCGGGCTCCGCATCGGGCCGCATCGCCGATGCATCAGCGATGCGGCGCGATCCTCCGACCCCCGTCTGCTCGGGCCCCATCCGGGAGGCCCAGAGCTCCTCCCCCGCGCATGCGAGGCTGGTCGCGGGGTGGGCTGGCCCGGGGGCGGCGGCGGCCGTGGCGACGCGCGCCCCGAGTGGCGGGGGGGGGGGAGGGGCCCGGAGCGCGCAAAGTGCTGCGAGGGAGAACGCGGCGAGCGGCCTCTCGGAGGCCGCAGCAGGCCGAGGCGAGGGCCGGGTGGCCGCTCCTCCGCGGGCGGAGGAGCGAGGAGCGGAGCGGGGCAGGGCGAGCGGGCCGGACAGTTAAAGAGCAAGACAGGGGAGCTGCTGGGCAGCTTATGTTCGCCTGTGTTTGGTCCCTTTTGGCCCTGCAGGGCAGGTCCCAGACATCTGGCGGCTCGAACAACTAGAGACAATCAATGTTCAGCCATGTTGGGTCTTGGGGCCACAGGACCAGCAGGCAACGAATCGGGATGGTAAAAGACATTGCGTGCGCCAGCGCATGCCGCTCGCTAGGTAGGGTCACGCACCACGCCGACCCTCCCATTGTGGGGGGGAGAACGTATGGAGACGCTCTAGAAGCGATGGCCACTGCGTCAGTGGCGGTGCCACCTGCATGAGCCTGTCGCCGAGCAGGCAGCCGAAGCACCAAGACCAGCACTGACCATGAAACCATTCTCCCTCTTGCATCGTCCCACACATGCCATCGGTCATTGCCACGAGGGCCCTGAAGGTGCCACGCGGGGGGGAGGCTTCCGGATGTGATCAGATATTCGGACTCGTTGTAACATGCTGCGCGTGCCAAGACACACTGCTTTATGTGACTGATCTGGTTAGATGCGGTGTCTCTGCCGCTGATCTGACTGGCCATGGCGCGACCTCTGGCGACTCCTTTCCGATGGCAATCTCGCGCGACAATGCAGCCACTACTCATTCACACGCATGATGCACACATGTCTATATGCCAATACCAGGCCGCGCCCAAACTTTACATGTCTTAGATCCTATCGCTCGTAAAGACCACGCTCGAAGACACGGGTGCTGTGTGTTTCGAAACCAACGGTTTCGCTGCCGACCGCACGATCGAATTAGGGCTCCAGTTGGGGCGAGGGGGCGCAACTGGTTACAACGTAGCACATCGTTCCCCCTGCTGCTGCCCCTCCCCGCCTCCGCATGCTCCCCCAGCCAAAGAAGGACGGCATATGAGGGAGGGAGCCAAGATGGGCGGCGCGGGGGAGGGACGGCAGGACGGAGCAGGGAGGAGGGATGAGGGAGGAAAATGAGGATTGAATAACGAGGACGACGATGAGAAAGGTGGCATTAGAGGGTGACGGGGGAGATGCAGAGGGAGAAAGTGGATTGGGAATGGGGATGAAGATGAGGACAGTGAGGAAGCTGACGACGAAGTGGATGCGGAGGATGCTTATATGGAGAACGAAGGTGGGGATAATGATGATGAGGATGCGGAGGGTGGGACAAGAAATAATGATAGGGGATGGGCAAGTGGGATACCACTCCTCCTGTTCACCTTTCTGTTCCAATTCTCCACCGCCATGTCATCATCATAATCCATGATGGGGCTCTCGCGCGGCCATCTTTGGGCTGTCTTGGGGCCCTGCGTTGGGGTCCTCAGGGGGGCCCTCCTGTAACCCGTTGGGGCCATTTTGGAGCCACGTTCGGCATTCGTGGGCCCTGGGCGCCATCTTTGAGCCTTCCTGGGGCATCTCGGGCGCTTGTGAGCTATCTTCAAGCCGTCGTGTACTGCCTTGGTGCCCTCTTGGGTCGCTGTGTGATCCTCTGGAAGCCATTCTCGGCCTTCTGGATGCTCTCTTGGGGGGCCAGTGGGGGCTCTCTTGTGAAACTTCTACGGCCCTCTGTTGCGCTCCTGAGGCCCTCGTGGAGCTGCCATGCTTCGACAAGTGCGGAACCCCCACATCGTCAGCCGCATGACGAATTCGAATGATTCCTAATCGTCCTGTGGTGATTGGTCCTCGTTTTGAAATTTTGAAGAGACAACGCCCCGCGTCACTCCCTCCTCCTCCTCCACCTCCTCCTCCCCCTCCTCCCGTCATCATCATACTCGTAAGCAATAACGACATCGTCATCACCAACGTCATCACCATTCTCATCCTCATCACGACCGCCCTCATCACCACCATCGTCATCATCAGTGCCGTCATCCTCATCACCCCTCACACGTTTCGTGGCCCATAGTGAGCTCCAGCAGAGGCCCCAATGCCACCGCCCGCATGCGTCACGCACGCCCACTTCGGCACACCCCTCACACGTTTTGTGGCCCCATAGGGAACTCTACCGAAGGCCCCAGTGCCACAGCCTGCACGCGTCATGCATACCCAATTCGGCACACCCCTCACACGTTTAGTGGCCCCAGGGGGAGCCCCACCGAAGGCCCCAGTACCACCGCCCGCATGCGTCACGCACGCCCACTTCGGCACACCCCGCACACGTTTCGTGGCCCCACAGGGAGCTCCACCGAAGGCCCCAGTGCCACCGCCCGCATGCGTCACGCACTCCCAGAAATTTTGGTAGATTTTGACATTCTCGTCACTCCGGACATCTTGCATCCCACGACGGCCCAAGAGGCTTCCAAGACAACCGAACACCCCCATGCGCCCAAGCTGGATCCAAAACGGCGCGCAGCGTGCCCCGCAGACGCCCGGGGGCGCGCCCAACATAGCCCAACGGGGCACCCGATGGCGCAAGAAACCCCCAAGAGAGTCCCAAGACGGCTCCGAAACGGCCAAAGAGAGCCCCGAGACGGCCAAGAGGGCCCAAAGGGTCCCGCATCGGGTTTCGGGCGTCTACCGGGGCCTGTGTTTTCAAAATTTGTCATAAGGATATTGCTGGTCGTTTTCGTCGTCGTCGTCGTCGACGTCGTCATCTTTG